AAAACGGAGTATTGCCCAGCTCCAAAGAAAAATAAAATAATGGAATTTGCAGGAAAAAATTATATTGAGTGAGGTAATGCAGGTCAAACAATGCAAATTCTCTCTCATATGTGGATCTTGGCTTCAAATCTTTTGTTTAATATTTTATGTTTTATTTTATGTGTATGCGTGTATTCCCTGTATGTAGGTAACTGCACCTGTGTCATGAAATGCCCATGGAGGACAGAAGAGGCTGTCCTGGAGGGAAATGGAGTTACAGACAGTTGTTAGCTATCATGTAGGTGCTGGGATTTGAACCCGGGTCTTCTGCAAGAACCAGTGTTCCTAACCACTGGGCCATCTCTCCAGTCCCAAATCTTTTGCTTTGTATGCTTAACATGCAAAATAAGTTGAAGCCAGAAAACTGGAAGGGAGATTTTGGAGGGGGTTAGTAAATTATAGGTAAAACTAAAGTAGACAAGTAGAATACGGGATTATAATGAGTACAAAGGGCTACAGGAACATGGAGGGCTACAGGAACATGGGAGTCAGGGGAAAGGGAGTATGAAAAAGGGAAGGTGTGTATGAAAAGCCATGTGGTTAATGCCCTACTAACTCACAACCCAACGTAAGGTCTCCAGCAGAGATGGTTCAGCAGTTAAGCGCACAGGCTGCTCTTCCAGAGGACCTAGGTTTGGTTCCCAGCACCCACATGGCAGCTAACAATCATCCATAACTCCAGTTCCAGGTGATTCTACGCCCTCTTCTGACTTCCACAGGCACATACAACATGGGTGCACTTATGTACACGTAGGCAATACACTCATACACATAAAAATATTTTTTAAAAATAAGTGGAAGGATAGTAGAGTTAACTGAATGGGGGAGATATGAGTGTTAAAGGCTTATAAGAGATGGGTGTGGAGAAATGGGGGATAGGATGGGATAATGGATGGGGTTAACCAAACTTAAGGATCTATGAAAAAGCCTCACGGAACGCCCCTAGTTAGTTTCCAAATACAACTAACCAATTCCAACTAAGCTAATTTCCAAATACAACTTAAAAAGAAGAAAAAAAGTTCAAACAGGAATTACCCTGTATGGGTGAACAATGTCACCCCCAAAAAACATGGGTTATTAAAAATCACAGTAAAAGGTATGGGATACCCCCCACCTACAAGCTATGAGACACCCACATGGTGGCTACAAACAATCCTTAACTCCAGTTCCAGGGGAATCCGACATCCTCTTCTCACCTCCATGGCACTGCACGACATGGGTGCACTTATATATATATACATGGGCAATACACTCATATACATAAAATAAAATATTTTAAAAATTAATAAATCCCTTCTTTTTATAATTGGCAGTATTTTTCACTTTTAAAATGAGAACGCTATACCTAAGTGCTAGCAGTGATTTAGCAATCCAAAATTAAAAATTTATTTGATGCAACCTGTAACTGGAACATAGTGGTCCTATCTTTCTCTTATAAAAAAAACAGAGACATTTAAATAAATACCTACCATATAGTTAAAACACAACAATTTACCTTTTGTGGCGGAAACTAGATAATTCTGACATGGAACATTTATTCTTTTCCTTGATGTCTGAAATACCGGGTTCTTCAATACATCTAGATGCCTCTATTTCAAAGATAAACACAAGTAATTAGCAAACTGTCTTAAAATAGCAGTATCTCTCTTAAACCTTGGATTTCCAATTGTTGACTATTAGCCTTCTTAACAATTTCACTCTTTTCAAGCTATTCTCTACATTTCTCCTAGTGTTTCCCATTGATAAGTATCTTCAAATTTGTATGACCCAATAAAAAACTCCTTTCTCATCCTGTCTCAAAAAGATACCCCCCCACACACAAAAACCCTTTCTCTAATAATCATCCAGTCAACCTGAAGACTGAATTTACTTCTGTACCAAGACAACTAAGGACTCCCGAAGATAAAACAAAAACAAGAGACTAACACACGCACACACACAATCACTAACAGGTGTTATAAATTTCTATTTCCAAATCACTTTGTCTCCTAGCAAATTACTTCATCACTGCTTAGCTCTCCTGGCCCTTCTCTATCATCCTGTACTATCTGCCTAGATTGAAAGAGAATCCAGTTCACTCTGTGGGGAAAATTTGATGCTATAAGTTATGAAGGCCACGTTTCCTGCCTTTTCATCCTCTCACTACTCTAGTTCTCATAATCCTCCCACAAGCTTACTAATTATCAACACTATATTCAAAATTCTCCTACCCCCAAAAAGGGCGAAAAAAAAGAGATTCAACTCTACTGTCTATCCCAATCCCACAGTGTAGTTACTTCCATTTCTGTACACACCCATCTAAGCAGTTTGTCCTGCTGTGCTTAAACTTCATTTCAGAAATCAATGTTATGAAGGTCATGAGTGCCAATTCACAAAGCACTTCTCTTTTTGACCTCGAAATTGGCTCTAAATCATCTTTCTAGCCTTTACCTGCTTTTAGCCATGCGTACTGCTTTGTCAGTGCAATGAGGTTCTATAATAAAACACAGTTTCTTCTTTAAATTATCCTTTCATGGAATGTTCTCAACCAAAAACAGTTTTCTGGAACTTTTCTGACTATTATGCTATTACCTAATACAAATACCTTGACAAGGCATTTCCTGATTACCAATCCTCAAAAGATTCTTGAGAAAAAAAAAAAACTCCTGGACTAGACAGACGGCTTAGCTGTTAAGAGCACTGGCTGCTCTGGCAGAGGACCTGGTGTGCTAGATAGCTTTAGTGTCAACTTGACACACATGGGTTGAGGGAGCCTCAGTTGGGGGATTGCCTCTATTGGACTGGCCTGTGGCCATGTCTAAGGGGCATCTTCTTGATGAGTGATGTGGGAGGGCCCAGCCCACTGTGGGTGGTGCCACCCCTGGGTTGCATAACAAAGCAGGCTGAGCAGGGGCCAGGGGAGCAAGCCAGTAAGCAGCGTTCCTCCATGGCCTGTGCTCCAGCTCGAACCTCCAGGTTCCTGCCGAGTTCCTACCTTGGGCTCCCTGATGAACTGTGACCTGGGAAATGTAAGCTGAATAAACCCTTTTCTCCCCTAGTTGGTAGTGGTCAGAGTATTTTGTCACAACAATGAAGAAACAAACTAAGACACCTGGTTTCCAGCAACTAACCACCATCTGTAACTTCAGTTCCAGGGGATCCGATGCCCTCTCCTGGCCTCCATGGGCACTGCACAACATGGGTGCACATACGTGCAGGCAATACATTCATACACATAAAATAAAAAATACATTTTTTTTAAAGGAGAACCTAAATTTCTATATATTACAAAGCCAAAAACCAGAATTATCTTAGGTTAGAAAAATACCCATCAAGTGATCAGGTCATATTCAAAATTAAACTTACCTTTGCTTAGTCCATCTACCTTTTCACTGGTAGTAGTTCTTCCAAGTTTCATAGATTCATTCTTAAAACTACATTCCTTGTGTTCCTGGGTAAAAAGGCATTTTCTTCAATGGTACATTGGTTTTAAATGAAATTAATCTTATTTTATATTGCTTTTCTTTATAGAATGAAGACTAAAAAAATGCTACCAGATTTTGGAACAATAGTGAGAAGGGAGGTAAATAGCAAAAAAGAATACATAAACTGCTTTAAAATGTTTCCATTGGATCTCTAAAATGAAAACTTGTTGGCTTTTACTTTCAAAAGGAATACAAAAAGAAAAACCTTGTTTATAAATTTTACTGTGAGGAAAAAAAATTACTCAAAGAAAAATTTAAGAAATGGGATTTAATATTTAATTCAGAATTAAGACCTCCCAACCTTACTTTTCAAAACAAGATTCCCCATTCGACAAATCTTCCCTTGGGCTATCATTACTATACTTTCGTCTCTAGAATGCCCTCGACTGTCAGATACAATAGAAGCATTTATGGCAAGAAACTGAACCTGATATTTTAGCAGGTTAAAGTCCCAATGCAAGTAAAAGAAAACAAAATCTCAATAAGCAGGTGGGGCAAGGTAGTGTATGTGAAAATTAAAACATGGGAAACATCTTTGTGCTATTTATTTCCTAATTTAGGTTTTCAGGATTTTCAGGTACAAACAATAGTTGTTTCTTTTCTGATAATTATTTTTCTCAATGAACTGATTTTTAATTTTAGAAACTGAATATAAACACATTGTGTATGTAGATATATATCAATTATGAAGAAAAACCATCCAGACTCACATCACTAGGCCATAAATCATCATTAACAAATTAATAGCTGTAGTATGTGTGAATATACTTATACATAAAAATTTACAAAATGAGGACTAAAGTTGTATTTGTAGCTGGTTATTATTTTTTTTAATCTGAAAAATGTTACAGGACCTGAGGATAGAGTTCAGTGTTAGAGTACTTACTTAGCATGTTGAAGCCCTAGATTCCAACCCTAGCCCCCAATTTTTTTTTAAAATAGACTACTCTTCAAAATTAAGTCTGTGTTTATATAATATTAAATGATATGGTTATTTTGTAATTTAACTACTACATTTAGAAAAATATTATAAACTGCCTATGTTTAAAATATTAGGGAAAATTTTTACTACTATCTTTAAAAAGGTGGATTATTTATAATTGTCAATAGCATCTTAAGTCAAATATTTGACAAGGTCAAAGATTATGAATGCACTTAACCTTCCTGATACATATTTACCATTTGTCTTCAAGAATGCGGTGCTATGCTCTTCTTTGTTTGTATGTCGGCTTTGTGTCTTTATTATTGTTGTATGGGGTTTTTGCTTTGGTTTATTATTTTTTTTAAGACAGAGTTTCACTCTATATTGTAGCCCTGGCTGGCTTCAAATTCACAGGGAGTCACGTCTCTACCATCGAATTGTTGGGATTAAAAGTATATACCACCAGGGCTGGAGCGATGGCTCAGTGGTTAAGAGCATTGACTGCTCTTGCAGAGGACCTGGGTTTGATTCCCAGCACCCACATAGTGGCTATGAACCAACCTTCCAGTCCCAGGGGAATATGAAAGTCTCTTCTGACCTCTGCGGCATTGCATGACATGGGTGCACTCACATAACACTAAAAATAATAAAGTATTTTTTTTTAAAAAGTATATACAACCATGACAGGTGGTACTTAAACTCTTACAAGCACCATTATGAACATGCCTAAAAAGCCATTAGTCACATGTCTTACATTAGATATCAATTTCCTGGCAATGTTTTAATAAAACAGTAAAGTTTTACAGTAAAATAGACCTCACAGAAAGCACACTACTTTACCTTCTTTGACTGATTCTTCTTAGGTCTTTCAACAAGAAGAGGACTGCCATCATGGAAGTTGGTAAGAATTACTGCAATGGCAGTAAGTGTTTTACCCTTTAAAATATTTTTAAAAGACAAATGGTCAGATTCTTAAACCCATCTAGAAAACATTTCAAAAACAATTTCAAATAAATACTGAATAACATTAAAAACCACAGCAATGTGTAATTAAATGATTGTTAATGAAAAGTATTTCATTTAGTTAAGAAATTTTCTTAACCTTTTAAGTTACTAAGTGATATAAGCATCACTGATGTCAGTTTATTGAATGACTGACTGCTCTAAGATTCTACATTGAACTATCACTTTATCATGAAACTAGTATTACAACTATTTTTTATGAAGTTCAGTGCTAATTTAAAATGAATAAGAATTCCAGCATACATATGAACACAATCACTTTCATTATTTTCAATGAAATCATGGCAATATAGAAATAAAACTAGCAGCTTTAAAGCAGTTTCCAAAGTATGGTCCCTAGGACCCTTTCAAGAGACTAAATGATCAAAATTGGCATGTGTTTGTGTGTGCATATATGTGTGGAGGCCAGAGAATAATCTTAGGTGTCAGTCCTCAGACAACTGTCCACCTTTTAAAAACAAGGTTCCTCACTGGCCTAGAACTTGCCAAGCTAGCTAGGCTGGCTGGCAGGAGAGCCCCATACATACCTCCCAACACTGAAATTAAAAGCTCATGTACCCATGATTTTTTTTATGTGAATTCTGGGGACTCAGGTCCTTGATTGAGCCACTTCCTCAGCCCCCAAAACTATTTTTGTAACACTACTAAATAAGACCTTATTTGGTTGGCATCTGCACTGATGCCATAAAAGGCAAGAGGGGAAATTGTGCTGGTGCCTTGGAATATAACACATTCATGATCATATTCACCCTCATAGTATTCCCTATAAAGGTAATACACCTTTGTAGTCATATTCCTATCACATACTTAAAATGAAAAGTCACCTTTGTAATAAAATGGGGGGCATACATGAGATACTTATTACATATGAGTTATCTATAGAAAAATTACATGAAATTGAGTTTCAGCCTCAACTAGTCCCTTTTTTCACAGAATGCTTGAAAGAATGACTAAGCATCTAGGATGAATTTTCTTTTGAATTTTTTCAAGAGCTGTTCATTTTTATCTTATGTGAGTGTTTTACCAGCATGTTATCTATGTGCATACAAGCATGCAGTACCCACAGGGGCCAAGAAGAGGGCACTGGATCCCCTGAAAATGGATTTATAGGTGATCGCGAGCCATCTTGTGGGTGCTGGGAACTGAACCCAGATCCTCCACAAAAGCAGTCAGTGCTCAACCACTGAGCCATCTCCAGCTTTTTGTTTACTGAGACAAGGTCTCCCGTAGCCCTACCTGGCATGGGACTCACTATGTAGACCAGGCTGGTCTTGATCTCACAGAGATCTATGTGTCTCTGCCTCTGGGGCACTAGGGATTTTTATCTTTAAGAAAAACAACAGAGTATCTGTCATCAAGGTTAAATCTGAATTTTCCCAACAAAAAATTAGAATGTTTCAACACTTATACATGACAGCATGACTAAAGCATCTTTGAAAAATGCAACTGCTTTTCTAATAAGACTGGAAGTAACATTAAAGAATATAAGCTTTTGATAGCATATGATGAAATGCACCAACATGTGGTAGATCTAAAACCAGAATTTTCCAAATGGATGAGCCTAGTCATAAAACCATGTGTAAAACATTCAATGTACAAATAGATTTTAATAAAAATTAAAGATACACAAATGGATTTTAACGAGTATAAATAAGTTTCATATTGTAACCATTAGCCTTTAAAGAACTAATACTTAGCACTAAATCAACAACAAAAAAAAATCAAATTATCTAAAAAAAAAGAAGTTTGAAAATACCTGTGATGTTAATACTGTCAACTTGACAGGATCTAGAATTACCGAACAAACCTCTGAGCCATGACTACCAAGGGAGTTTCTAGACTACGTTAATGAGGTGGGAAGTCTGTGGTAAGCACCATTCACTCCATAGGCTGGGGTCTCAGGCTGAATAAAAGAACTGATCACCAGCCTTCATCTCCCTGATTCCAGACTGCAGGTACAGTATGACCAGCCACTTAGAACTCCTGCCATCATACCTTCCCTATGATGGACGCTATCTCTTGGAACTGTAAGCCAAAATAAACCCTTTTCTCACTAAAGCTGCTTCTAGTCAGGTATGCTGTCACAGCAACAGGAAAGCAACTAATACAATACCCTCCTCTATAACATCAGTATAAGGATAAATTTTATGTACTTTAACCAAAATCAACACAATCACAACAGACTGAATCTAAAGCAGCAGACAGAAGAATTCATCTATTCGGCCAAAACATCAAAACAAGTGGCTGAACTGTAAAACCAAAATTGCTAAAGTTTGGAAGTTTTTATTTTAAAAATGTGCTATCTATACAAGTAAACAGTTTTCTATATTGTTCTTTTTAAATATTCAGTTAATGCCTGCTACTATATTGATAGAGCTAAAAAAAAAAAAAAAACCCCAAAGATTCTAAGGCCAAAAACCATATGAACTACTATGGTAATCAAGTGTCTACTAAGTAATCCACATATCCCACTATTTGTATAAGAATACAGTATCATACAACATCCCCCTCATTGTAAAGCTTTTATTAAAAACACAACGCGGACTAGAGGTGTAGGCCACTGGGTAAGATGCATGCATATTTTGAGTAAGGTCCTAGATTTCATCCCCAAGAGGAATGGAACAAACTGACAGGGGTCCAGGGGTCCAGGTAGCCAATGTTCAGTCCTACTGTTTGATTCAGAGTGGAAGCCTCAGTATTAACTGAGACAGCCCCTGGGGATGGGAATGGACATTACTAGAAGAGTAGCCTGGCTGCTTTCACATAGTGCTTATCATAGCCTCATTCCACTTGGGGAGACCTATTGATCATGTGTTCCAGGAAGCATTTGGTAGGAGCTGAGGTCCACAGGGTTCAACTTTTCCTCTTAACTTACGGCTTTCCTGCTCATCATGTAAGAAGCCAGCTGCTCTAAGAGATGGTGGCATTGTTCACTGTCCTCTTCCCAAATCTGCTTTATCACGTTTGCTTGTCCTCATCCTATTTCCTGTCCCGCTGTCTGTCCACAATTATAGCCATACTCACAACGGCACTGAAACGTGTTGTGGGTCCAGTGTGACTTGTCACAGCCCTATCTTGTTCCCTGTGACTATCATCTGACTTCTCATGGCTCCTATCTTTCATGTTTCAGGTCAAACTTCTCAGCACCTGTATTACTCTCTAAGCTTCTTCACAGAGCTGATAAAATCAAAGTTGGGTTCAGTTGGAGAGAGCCATCATATGAGGTCTGTGTCCATATTCTTGTAGTAAGGAACCTGCAGGAATGGCCAAACAACTTGTACCAACCTGGAGGCCCTCCAATGACCTTAGAGTTTGCAGGAAAATCTGCTTAGTCCTTGGCAATGACCTTATCCTCTTGTTTGGCTCTCTGTATCTGATACCTCTCTCAGCCAAGCAGGTCTGCATCAGAGCATAGCAAGACAGTGCTATGGGTAGTGAGAGGTTATGACACCATTGCTTTTCTCTTGTCAGTATGATTGCCAGTATCAAAGGACTTCTCCAACTGGAGGTAACTAGGCCTTTCTTTTTGTTTTTTGTAGTGATTAAGATTAAACTCAGGGACTTACACATGCTAGGAAGTCACCTTCCCTTTACCTTTACTTTTAAAAAATCCTCCGAAAGGCAGGTATTCCAAAGAGCAAGAAAACTGAGACTATCTCTTTATGCATTTATTACTTTTACTGAATTTTGTTACCTAATTATTACAACTCTTCTTTGTTGTTATTTGACCTGTCTGTTGGGTTCCCTAGAAGACCCTACTTGCAAGACAAGGGGAATAACCACAAAAAAACTGTTCTACACAGAAACCAAAATAAACTAGCACCTATCTTTCAACCTCAAAATATCTTTCTACAAAATTGTAACTGCTAAATAAGATTTTGTTAACTGAAGAAAAAAAAATTACCAAACCCATATCATCAGCTAAAATTCCTCCATGAACATTTTCTGGTCGTTCCTTCTCAGAAAAATTTGTTATTGTATTATAATATAAGTCATTTCGCTGCTCCCAGAATGGAGGAAGTTCTTTGCTGTTTTCTCGTGAAATCATCCAAGCTAGAGCTTGTTTTTGATGTGGAAGCAATGGTGTTTCAATAGCCTACAAAAAATAAATGTCATAAAGAAAATATAGTCAGTCCTTTTCTTTTTAGATGCAGAACCTGAAAAATAGTAATCTTTTTATTGGTATGAAATGTATAAATGATCAAGATATTTAAAAATTCCCAAGTTCAGTTTTTTTAGTTCTTTATACTTTCTAAATATCAATGCCCTGACAGATATAATATAGCCAGCAGAATTCTCTTATTTTCTGAACTGTCTCTTCAGACTGTTATTACTTTTCTGTGTGTAGGCTTCTTAATTTCAGATAATAGCATTTGTCAATTCCTAGAATTCTTGAGCTTTTGCAAAGAGAGTGCGTGCCTATCAATAAATGGGAAAATGAACAGGCACTTTTTAAAAAAAGAAATACAGATGGTTAATAGATATATGAAAAAGTGCTCCATGTCCTTAGCCATCAAGGAAATACGGAGTAAAACTACCCTGAGAATCCATCTCACCATTGTCAGAATGGTCATCATTAAGAAAACAAGAGACTCCTAGATAGGCTGACTAGACCCCAGTGGATGGACTTACACTGGGGAACATCTGGGGACACTGACTTGACCACTGGGCCTTAACACAGATGATACAGTATATGTGTTCAGGAACGGGAGTGTCTATGGGAGGGTACAGGTGGGGATGGGGGTATAAAGATGATTAAGATTGTTTGTGATATTCTGTATTAAACATACAAAAATTCAATAAAAACAAATTTAAAAGAACGCTTGCAAGGTTTCAGGTAAAAAGGAACCCTTACTGCTGGTGGCAATATAAATTGATTCAACCACTGTAGAAATTAGCATGAAAGGTCCTCAAAAACTTAAAAGAGAACAACATATAATCTGGCTACATCACTCCTGGGAATATACCCAAAGGAATATAAGTCACCAAACTAAAAAGATACGTGTCCATCTAAGTTTACTGTGGCACTGAACACATCATAAGCATAGACTCAACCTAGATATCCATCAATAAATGAATGGATAAAGAAAACTCAGTCTATGTTCATAATGGACTTTTGTTCAGCCATAAAGCACAAAATTAAGTCTTTTGCAGGAAAATGGAAGGAACTGGGGATCATTATTATTATGTGAAAAAAGTCAGGGCTAAAAAGAAAGCCAGATCTGCATTACATCTTATTTTGTGTTTGTATAAATCTAAATACACACACATACATACATGACATCAAACTATAAGGGAGACTACATGGAAAGACCCAAGAAAGGAGGAAAGGAAAGGGAGGACAAGAGAAGGTAATGGGGAATGAACACCATCATAGTCAAGTACAGCAAACCTAAAGAGAAATCTCATTAGGAAACACATCATTTTGAACATAATTAATGCATTGGTTCAATACCTCAGCTGGCTCCATTTCATGAGTTTTATCATCTTCTTTTAAATCTTCAAACAATTTGTCAAATTCTGTTTTAAGCTACAGGAAACAGCAATAAGAAATAACGAACAAAACAATTAAAATGATAATTGTATGTAATCCAAAGATTTCAAATCATTTCATTGAATAAGTTAAATGCCTAAAGGCACATAAGTTAATTCTTTGTTATACCAAACTACTCACTGCAAGTAGAAAAGGGTAATTTTTCTACAAAAGGTCAAATGTATTATTTTTGGATGAATACACAAGCATCACAGGGCCTCTCTAGGGAGCTAGGGATATATAGCTCTGTGATAAAGCACTTGCCTAAGTATTTGCATGGCCCTGGGTTCAACTCCCAATACTATTAAAAAAAAAAGAGGAAGAGGGCTGGGTGTGATGGTGCACGCCTTTAATCCCAGCTCTTGGGGGGTAGAGGCAGGGGGATCTCTGTGAGTTTGAGGCCAGCCTGGTCTACATAGTGAGCTCCAGGCCAGCTGGGGCTACAGGGAGACCCTGTCTCAAAAAGACCAAAAAAAGGGGGGGAAGAGTTGAAGTGATGAAGCCCTGGGATATCAGTCAAAGTTCTGTCACAAATGAGCCTACTTATGGCCTTGTATTTTGTGTGTGTGTGTGATAGGGTCTCTACATAAAGAAAGTTTTAATATTTTTGACATGATTATATATGTAGCTTTTTTTTGTAGCACTGTCCAGCCTGGAATTCACTTATGTAGACCAGGCAGGTCTCAGACTCATAGAAATCCATTGCTTCTGCCTCCCAAGTGCTGGGATTTAAGGAGGGGACCACTATGCTTGGCCTGTAACTTATTTGTAGAAAACAAAATAATTTAGGTGACTAAGGTTCTTTCTTCCATTAAAATTCTTGCAACTATTTTGAAAGACCTAATAGATGCACCTGATTCTCAGGTAAATGACATTTTATTAGCAACAAGGAACTTGCTATGTGCTACCCAAAATGTCAGGATAAGTTCATGATGAAACTAATTTAGCTGATAATTTAAATTAATCTAGTTCAATTTTAAAGTAACATATACCATAAGTCTTACAATTTCTTTACAAATTAACACATGAATACATAGCAGCCTAGGAAACATCAAGCCAAGTTAGCAGAGGTAGCCTGGGGTCTGTCTACCAGACACAGGCTCCAGCCCTTCTAACGACATGCAGGAAAACTATAATTGGAAGACAAAGAAAAAAAGGATACCACCGGAGGATATAGAGACATAAAGTTTTAATATTATTTTTGAAATTATTATATATGTAGCTTTTTTCAAATTACCTCAATATAACAGTGTATCAGATCACAAATTACACAGAGACCTAGAGTAATACCACCAAAGATTTTGAGGTAATTTTAAAAATATTTTATTATTTTTATTTTATGTATATGAGTATATTGCCTGCATGTATGTAAGTGCACCTGTGTCATGCAATGCCCCTGGAGGTCAGAAGCAGGTGCTAGATTCCCTAGAACTGGAGCTACGGATGGTTGTTAGCTGTCATGTGGGTGCTGAGAATCAAACCCAGGTCCTCTGCAAGAGCAGCCCACACTCTTAACTGCTAAACCATCTCTCCATCCCTGAGGTAATTCTTATTAGTTTTTAAAAATATTTTATTATTTTTATTTTACGTGTATGAGTATTATACCTGCATGTAGTTAAGTGCATCCGTATCGTGCAATGCCCATGGAGGACAGAAGAGGCTGTCAGATCCCCTAGAACTGGAGTTACAGACGGTTGTTAGCCGCCATGTGGGTGGTGGGATTCAAACCCGGGTTTTCTGCAAGAACCAGTGTTCTTAACTGCTAAGCCATCTCTGCAGCCCCTCGAGGTGATTATTTTAACATTGCATTTGCACCCTCACTGAAGGAATAAATTTCATATTTTGTTTTTTGTTTTTTTTTTTTTTATCTTTTTGAGACAGGGTCTCCATGCAGCCCCAGCTGGCCTGGACCTCACTTTGTAGACCAGGCTGGCCTTGAATTCACAGAGATCCACCTGCCTCTGTGCAGTCCCAAGTGCTGGGACTAAAGGCATGTGCCACCACACCCGGCTAACATTTCAGTACTTTTTATTACTATTTTGGACATTCTGAAAATTTCAAATACAAAAATATCACATGCATCTACAGTCGTATGCATGTTTTTTGTTTTTATGTATGTACACTTGTGGATATGTACATAAAAATTAGCTCTCCTTTTCACAGATCTAGTTAATCAAAAATGCAGGCTTATGCTATAAGGGTTGTATATGTACTGAACCTGTATAGATACTGTTCCCCATCATTGTGTCCTTAAAATAGTATAACTATTTTCACGCTATTTTATTTATATTAT